GTAGAGAAGGGAGGAGAGATCGCAGAGGGAGGAGGAAGAAAGGATAACGAAGTTGGAGACAGACATAGCAGAGGGTCAACAAAAAAAAAAAAAACAAAAAAAAAAAAAGAGGAGGAAGAAGATAGGCGAAGGAGGGGGAAAGAGAGTGAAGGTTGGCGAGAAAGAAGGTGTCGGCAGCCATAGCCGATAGAGGGTTGACCGGGCGTTGACCAGAGGGTTGACCAGGTGTTGACCAAAGGGTCCACCGGGCGTTGACCAAAGGGTTGACCGGGTGTTGACCAGAGAGTTGACCGGGCGTTCACCGAGCGTTGACCAAGGTGTTGACCGGAGCTGTTGACCACAAGCTGGAGTTGGTATAATCTCGGCAAGCCCTTAGCCTATCCCCTCACCCTATGGATGTGCACTCACCCTATGGAACTTGCTGAGTCTGAGTCTGTCTGTCTCTTTTTTCTGCATTGATCCAGGTGATAGGACTCCGTGTATGAAGTATAGGGCCTCGTTGACCAAACCCCTGCCGGGGAGAGTAGGGCTAAAGACTGTGTCTGACGACTCGACTGTCCCTGAGGACACGAATCCTCCTAAGGACCGTTACTGACCGGCGGGCTGCTCGGTGTGGCATGGTAGGCACGAAATCCGAGCTGTGGGCTGCACAACGGGCCGTCTAAGTCTTGAGAGAACCTGCTGACCGCGTCGTCCTGTCTGCGACGTTAAAGAATTCTTGAGGAGTTACGGGGGATCTCCTTAAATGACTCTGGTCAGCAACAGGTTTTGTAGTGACGGCTATAGTATTAGAGTCTAGGCTAGAGACAATGGTTGACAGGGTTCTATACTGATCTTGTGGTCCATAGATCGAGTCGGTAGGTCGTGTCAGGTAGAGGGAGAGTCTAAGTGGTGAAGAGTGGAACCGTCGTTGGGTTGTGCATCTTTCACCATGGTTGACACGCGTAGTGGCACGAGTGCCACCCCCTACACACGCGAACAGGAAGCAAAGGCCGCCGCCGCCCTGAAGGAGAAGAGAAAGGAAGGAGGCCAGGAAGAAGGCCTTGTTAGAAGAGCAGGCGGCCAATTGGAGAAGAGGATTACAAAATGGGCTGCAAGACTAACCCTGGGGGAAGACGAGGAGGCGTTGATGTATGTCCCAGGGATGAGCAGGAGGCGGCTATAAGAGAATGTGTTGCATACCGTAAAGGTGCAGACCAGAACAAGAACCGACCTTTCAATACAAGGTATAAGATAGCACAGCGGAAGGCTTAGATGCCAGTGATCCGAACAATCAATGTTGTAATGCAGCCCTGAACATACATCATCATCATCGTTTCATAGTGTGAATGGGTCTGGCGCTTCACACAGGAAGA